CCAAAAAACCACTAAGGGGTTTAATCTTGGTGCCTGAAGCTACTGGCTACACCACAGTAGATACATATTAAATTCCGTATAAACGAAAGAGTTAAAAAAATACGAAAGATACTAAACTATGTGTACATCTTTTTTTTTTACTTTTTTTATTACTGTTAATAAATATAAATTAGCGGTGCAAGTTTCGCGTTTCAGAACATAGACATTTTGGGTCGCAAAGCCAGCGGAGTTAAAGCAAAATACATATAACCTTCACAGATTAACTACAATTATACAATTTCTTGGTATTTTTCCAATTTTTTTATAAACTTTAAGCATGTATTCTTTAAATTTGAGTGGTTTTATACTTATTTTAATATAATGATACTTATAATGTTTTTACCTATTTTTACGTAAATTAAGTCGCGAACACTGGCTTTTCATCATTGTTAATACCTGCTGAGTTTCATCATCGGACGTCGAGGAAGAATACGAAATTCGGGTGGAATTCTTATCTTCCTCTTCGTATCACCTCGAAGTCCGTCGTTCCACAAGAGCGTTATTTAAGGCAGTTTTTTGCCACGCACCACCAGTTGTTTCCACCAGCTACCTACTGAAGTATTTCCGAACCAATTCGACTTAGAATCTTGCAAGAAAAGATACTTAAAACGCCGGCAACTCTCTCGCAGGCCCTCAGGCATCAGATGAGCCTCCTGCCCCTGTTCTATATATATTTTTTAATTTCGCTTTTCAGTGGCATTTGAGCTCGTAAAAACATCACGTTGTGAAGTTTAAATGTCATATCATTTAATTAGTATGTACATTCAGTCAGAAATGTCAGGAATATGATGGGGTTTCGACCCTTCTCACCCTAAGCTGATTTGTACAGTCGCGTGAACAAGAGATACGGTTATTTACTTTGGCAAATAATCTGTTATATGACGCTATTATGCTAATTCTAAACTATAAAAAAATATGCAATTAGTTTTTCATCTCTGTATAGATTAGCCCAAGTTTCGCCTTTCTTGCAACCCTTAAACAAAGAGTTTGTGTTTTTTTAATTAAAACAATTATTGTAATTTGAATACATATTAAGAATTTTTTTTAAAGTAATCTTACAGATACATATACCCATATTATAAAAGAAAGCATACAATATACAAAAGCCAAACAGATTACATTGATAAACAAAATATACGAAACAGAAGTCTAATAAGTATGTTAATAGATAAGATAAAATTGAATAATGAATCACGTTAGTAATGTTTAAATGACACATGTATTGTAAAACACATGAAAAGAAACTTTGTACAATTCACGTGGATCATCCTTTTCATGAATTCTTCAAGAATTTAAAATATTAGGTCAACAACATTGGGGAACGGTGACTGGTTTGCTGGCTGCTCACCTACACGGGACATCCAGAATACACTTTCCGAATTCATTCTAAAGCAAATAGTATTTTCATATGAAAGTATATACTTCAATGGCCGTCCGTTAGTATTATAAATATGTCGAAAATACGTTTCTTTGATATATCAGTTTCACTTTAATATAATATCACAGGCGAGTTGGTTTAAACTCCATATCTTTAGTAGAAATACTTACATTTTTGCTGACGAAGTTGCAAAATTTATCTATTTTATAATTATTATCTAGCAATGGAGGTTTTAAAATCTAAAGCACGAGTATTTAAACTATTGCATTATATCGTCGCCAGTACCCCACAGGATTGAATCTTAATACCAGTAATATCATTACAAGTACGTTTAGGGCGTGGTGTTTGAATAAAAAACATAGCACCCGCTGCGCATAACATAATGCCATTGTTTTAAAAACCATTTACTGCGGTGAGAAAAATCTAGAAAAATTATTATTATTAAAGTCTAATAAATGTAATAATGGGCCGGATAATAACCAGTAGCGTCCAACTAAACAACTAAATATTTAAAGCGTAAAGCTTAAAAAAGGCTTTATGTAAGAAGATTGTCGTGTGCGTCTTCCGACCTAATGGAACCTCGTCCAGACTGTCCAAGATGTCGCAACACTGACTGAACCGTGGCCTTTCTCTTGTAAACCAAAACTTGAGTGAAAAGAGTGGCGGACAGTTTCCTGATAGTTCTTATCGCCCTCTCTACGCCAATGAAAGCTTGTATTAAATGTAAATTTAGACTTCTGGTTACTTAAATCATTAAATAAATTTTGATTTAATTGAAGAGCAGTGTTGGCCTAGTGGCTTCAGTGTGCGACTCTTATACCTGAGGTCGTAGGTTCGATCCCCGGCTGTGCACCAATGGACTTTCTTGATGTGCGCATTTAACATTTGCTCGAACGGTGAAGGAAAACACGAAACCGACATGTCTTAGACCCAAAAAGTCGAAGGCGTGTGTCAGGCACTGGAGGCTGATCACCTACTTGCCTGTTAGATTTAAAAATGATCATGAAACAGATTCAGACATCTGAGGCCAAGACCTAAAGAGGTTGTAGCGCCACTGATTTTTTTATTTTATTTAATTGATAAAGCTAGGAGAATCTTGTGCGCTTCCTCCGACATAAAGGATCCTTGACCAGTCGAACTGACTGACCCCAGTAAGCTGATATCGAGAGGTAGCACCTATATCAACTCAGCGGTCGTATTTACCTAGTATGCAGCCATCGTAAGTGCCGCAACAACTAAGAGGAAAGATCAGGGCAGAGTAGTACGAGTATGACAATATCAACTTTGTTACGGTGATTTTTTGAACGGCAGATCCAAGAACGAATTGTTGCTTTGCAACTTAAATATTTGTAATAATTAATCTACAATATTATTATTTGAGAAAAATTATTGATATTCTAATGGCCATAATTCTTTAGATTTTACTAAATGACTTTTTGCCCATACTTATATGCAACCAACTGCGCCCCATAATTCATATAAAAAACCAGCTACCACCTTTGTTCTTGTTCTCAGCATTAAAGTTAATGAAAAAAATGTTAAGTTTCAGTTTTCTTTATATAGTTTTGTCAATTAATGTACTTATTTGCTTTCTGTTTCGTATATATTGATTATCTATGTAATCTGATTTGGCTTTCTGTATTGTGTTAGTGTTTTGTTTTATAATATGTATGTTAGCTGTAAGATTACTTATAATTAAATAAATATAAAAAAATGTCGTAAATACCTACTTCTTTCTAAGCTCAGCATGAAGCAAGAAAAAATGCATTAAAAGATTTAAAAGCAAAACCAATTTGTCGTAATTGGTTTAAATATTTGAGAGGTTCGACCCCACCATTCTCGTTCACCCCAATATTATAAGATTCGATTATTACAAGGGTGATGTATGATCTAATATTGAAATTTGTATGGGCTTTAAAATATCAAAAATGGAATTTATAAGCCTTTAACCTCTGACGCAAAAGAGGACTGCAAAGGGTGCTTTTATTGCAAAATTTTACATTTAAATTTCTTAGCAACAGTTCAAACAGTCTGTAAAGCATTCAATTGAGTTATTTTTTTATATATTAATCAATATGCGTCGAAATAAAATCAATCAGAAAAAGTCAGCAAAATTTTTGCCAGAACGAATGATCGCAAAGCGGCATATTTTATAGTAGCGGCACGTCCCGGCTTCGCACGGGTGGACATTTATTTTTTAAACATTTATTGTAGATAATGTTCTTTAATATTGTAGAACATTCTTTTGTTCTATCATCAATAGTTTTCGCAGCGGATGCGATGAAAGATATATTACTTATAGGCATTTTTTTAAACCTTGGGTAACATTATTGTAGTTTTAAGGGATTCTTATTTTTTTCTTGCAATTAAATAGCCTATATTAATCAGTGATAATATAGCATTCAAATGGTGAAAGAATTGAAAATAGGTCCAGTACCTACTTTTTTTTACCTACTTTTTGAGCCAATTCGTTACAAACATACTTACATACAAATCTTTCCTCTTTATAATATTAGTATAGATATACCTACTTATTAAACAATATGCGTCGAAATAAAATCAATCAGAAAAAATCGGAAAAAACTTTTCAGAACGAATGATCATCAAGCGGTATATTTTAAAGTTTAAATTTGAAATAAAAAAGACTCCGGGGAAAGATGGGAATGAGTAGGAACGACGATGAGAGAAATGTGGAAGAATTTGGAGATCGTGTATTTAATATGATAATTTAACACATTATATTGCAGTATTTGAATAAAGGTATTTTTATGGAGCGGCCTTTTCCAACAATTACACCAACTTGTGAGTACCAGAGGGGAGAGGGTTTACGGCAGTAAAATTTGCAGGTTGTATGTCCGGGAGAAATTAAAATTTCTCAAAAATCCTTCCTTACATTTTCTACTAGTACAAGCCCGCCAACACGCGTATTTCGACATAGAGATTAAACTGCAAACGAAGGCTAAGTAGGTATTTGAAAACAATTTAACCATTCACTGTATTGCAGTTATGGAATTTAGTCTTTGGTAGGAAATATAGTTTGCTTTCTATATTTTCGGGAAATGTTGCTCCAATACCTCCTGTATGCCTCAAAAACGCGGGCAGCTTGCAGCCCAACGCACCTTACTCTCGCGTAAGAAATTTTCCGAGTAATCGACTACAAGCCATTTTTATTTTATTTATATCTATCCTTCGAAGGGATTGAGATATATTTCCTAATTCTTAAGTGTATATCCAAATCCTTCAACCAGCCCCACAACTCGGCCTAGCGCACTGGGCACTCCTTACATAAGGACTAAGGTATATGCTGGGAGTAGAAAACGTTCAAGTGTTTGAAAGCATTTCAACATCTCACAAATATTTGTGCGAAAATCTCTAAGGGGATGAGATCCTTTCCCATTATTCATAGGTAATGTGGCACTTAGACATAACTCCCTACACCACTCTCGCGGGCCGCCTGCTGACCAGCACACCGCTAGTTTATTATTTACAAATGAAAGCATTTTTAAAACTATAACCTAAAGGGGTATCTTATAGTAGGGTAAAAATAAAACAAAAATAATTAAAAAACATTTATTAAATAAATCTATCCACCATGTAATGTAGATATAAACATAATAACATCATTTTCTTGAACTTCATAACTTAATTCTCCATATAGCTCCCAATCCGCATCATTTATTAATACTAAGATACCCGGTCGCACTGAATCACCCTAAAACATTTTTTTTAAATAAGATTTCACAAAAGAACAACACACATTTATCACAATATCAATTTAAAATTTTAAAACTCTCCAATGGTTGTTTTCTTTACAATAACAAATTTAAAAAAAAAAGTGTACTATATAAGTTGTAAAAAATTAATCACAATATTTGATAACTCACATAGTTATGTCATTTTCATTATCAATAACAAATCTATGTAAAAAAATCCATGATTATTTGTTAAGTACATGTCACTGTCAAGAACTATTTTAAGGTTTTGTTTCCATCATATCTTTTAACATTACATTTGATGTATAGCAGGGTTTAGAGTTAAGACTTAAGATTAAATGCTATGTATCTACTCTGCATCTTACACTCAGAGCTATATAAGCTGGATTAACTATCTACTACAAGCTACATGCTTCCAAGTGGAAGCTGAGTCATGGTGGTCATTTAATCTTCTTATTTATTTATTTCTTCTTCACCTATTGGTGAAGTATAAAATTTTCTACCCTAAGTGTGCACCAATGAAGTTTTAATTCAATGTGAACAAGTTACAGAAGCTTGATCACTCCTATAAAGAAAAATTATGAAAAAGATAAGGAGAACATGATCAGTTGTTGTTGAGTTGAATTTTGGGTTACCTTTGTTGAATAAATAATTTATGATAGTTTTACTAATAAAATAATAAAATATAGGCGATAAGTAGCCTCTGCATCGCAAATTGATTAAGTTACCTGTACAAATAATTCTGGCCTTTCCATTAATAAATTATCTTTCATCCATACTAATAATTCTTTTATTGTCCATTTCTCTTTCTGACTTTCTGGAAAATACTTTTTCAATGATGGCAGTTCTACTTCTCTCTTCTTTATTTTGTCAAATAATAACTCTGCTCCACCACCAAACTGAAGTTGAATTTTTAATGTGGTCATCGTACTAAAACAAATGCAAAGCCATTTAGCTCTTAAACTGTGTATTTTAATTAAGAAAAAAATATTAGAATTTAGAGACAATAATGCTTATAATTTTTAAGAGCCTTAATAGCATGATTCATGAATGATTTATCGTATAGTTAATGCTAGGAAATTGTTATTAATTGGAATACTAATGTGTATTAATTTTACATTTAAAATAACTATGATACATACGTATTTTATTAATGTAGCGTTAAATTGTAGTATTGAAATGTGATATTTTAATTTACATTTGACAAAAATAAACATTCCACTTTTTAATGATCGTAACTTACCTGTATAAACTAAAAAATATTACTACAAAATTAACGTTGTTAATTGAAGCAAATGTAAGGTTATTCTATTTATTATTGTTATGTTTAATGTTGACATTGTTTTTTTTTTTTGGAGTTTATGGCCTGGTATCTAGACCTTTAGGCCAAATTATATAAATTATTTTGGTAAAAACACAGATTAATTATAATTGATCTGTTACAGACTACACCCTGCAGATTAGTGAAATCGTCGAATCGACTCGCCAATATTTGACACAATGCCTAGAAATGACGTTTCAATAAACGTCAAACTTAAATGGGATAATATATTTAAGCCAATGAAAAACTGGAAGAATCGGTTTTAGCAGTATGATTGCCCATTTACATCCTTTGTTTTCTTATTTTCTTCCGTATAAGCGAATGATAATTGTGCCTTCGCCTGATACAAGTCTTCACTACGGCTCGGGAGCATGTGTAGAATCCCTTCCTCCCATACTTGTCTATGTTCAAGACTGGTGTTCAGAAAATTTGTGCGGAAAGGACAATAGGTACTTGGATTGCATGGAAAATGATATTAGTGTAGATAACATTTATTAAGAACTACCTTTGAAAAAGTCCACACCTACAAAGGGTAAAAGCATGTCCAGAAAGCGTGTTTTAGGCGCGTATACACTCGCGCCTTCTCGAAATACTGTAACTGCATACACCGCGTCTAGATGCTCTCGCGCTTTTCCACACACGCGCGTAAAACGCTTGCAATGCGAGAGACTGATAGGGAGAAGGGGATTGCATATGGAATCATCAGATTATTCCAATAGAATCATAAAACATTATTAACATACTATGCGTCATTCTGTCACGTAGTATGGGATGTATGTTAAATCGTGGACTTTCTTCTTTTACGATATTTCCATTGATATGCAAGCCACAAGACAATCGCTGTATTCGAGTCCATGTTTATAACCAAATCAGTCTCATCACATTCGCGCGTAGGAACGCCGCGTCTGGACGCAGTACAAATTACAACGCTCGAGTGGACACGCGCGTAAATCGCGCTTTCTGGACAGGCACTAAGTGAAACCTGAAACAACCTTCCGCTGCCAACACTGAGATCCGTGTAGACGCGCTGTATTGCAATAATTCAAAAGGTTATTTGACAGGATAAATAAAACACTATGTACAAAAATAATCTATTTACGACTGTAAATTCGGGTGCAAATCAATAGCCGCCTTCACATCCGGTGGCAGTGACTGCAGTTTACTGCTGATAAAGAATCGTAATGTATCTCGAAGAGCTGCTGGGAAGTACTGGGCGTCAATTTGTGACGCCAATATTGTGAAGCATGGCGGTATACTCCAACGGACCTTGAAGTTTTTGTTTTCCGCCTGAAAATGTTTACAACCATTAAATAGTATTTAATTTGTAGAAATTGGAAAATCATATCAACCACAAGTGTAAACGGGTTTAAACTGATTTGACTGACGAGATATATATTTTAATTTGTTTGCAAAATAACCATACAAAACGTCAGAATTATATAACAAAAAAATTGACTTCCTAAACCCAAGAAATTTCTATTTTTAAGCATTTTCGCGAGATTCTGAGAACCTTTAGTGCTTATTATAAATGTCGATTTACATCAGACAAACAAATACTTATTCTATCCCCACTATATCAAAATTTTGTCTGTTTACACAAAATAATTTGAGAGAGTAGTATTTGTTCTTAGTGCGTTCACAAAGATTCTATGGAATATTCTAAGAATGCTTGCTCGCTAGAGCGCGCGAACATTTGCTTAGAGCGTTCGTACGTGTTCGGACGTACTCGCGCCCCTTAACGGTCTCTTCAAGGCGTTTGTGTGTTCTAGCGATTGTTCTAGCTCTAGCTCTTCGTTTACACTAAAAGATCACGAAAGAATTTTCTTGTTCTAGCTATAGCTTTGTGTTCGTTTAATGTAAATCGAGCTTAACAGAATTGTTTTCTGATTTCATAATTTATGTATTATAGGCCTCTTTACTTTTGTATAGAATAATTTAATTTTGAAAGATATTGCCTAACCTTAATAAGCTGTAAAGCTGCAAGTACATTGTTGGTCAACACCCACTGCTGTTTGGCTCTCTTAACCAACAATGGGTACAAATCCCTTGCAACGTCTCCCGCTACTGAACTTTGCTGGGAAAGCCCGGAGACACAGCAAAGAGCTTCCACATATGCTTGGATGAGACTTTCTTGGTCATGTATTGACTGAAAATTGAAAATAATAAACTGTTGTGCCTGTACATTATTGGTTACCCACAGTTGGTTTGCACATTCGTATTGATATTCCCTACCCATCTTATTTTAAGACACTTAATAGATATGTTAAGAGCCAGATACAGGGTATATTGGCTTGTAAATGTACCGAATTTACAACCTTCAACATTTATATCACCTAGTGAATGTGAAGTTAAATGTTAAGTAACATCAGGGGGCCTCATAGCCTAGCGGTCTTATTAAGTGGCAGCTAGGTGAGGGGTACCGGGTTCGATTCCCGGTTCGAGGGCAAGTTTTAATTTAATTTAAATTTGTTCTCGGCCTTTGGGAGGGTTGTGCGGTACCGGGCGAGAGTGCCTAAACCGTACATGGAGGACACGGTCGCATTTCTAAGGCAAAAAGAACGAATTATAAAAATCCTATACTTGACGCTGGCTAATGCACAAATCGTGCCAGAGCCATAATTAAAAAAAAAAGTAACATCAGTCAATTGTCATTACAAAAAGATGTCATAAAAAAGTAAAAGGTAAAACAAAAGAACTTCACAATGATAGAGGAGGGGGAAATATATAAGAATTTTTTCGTTACTACACACTCAAAATTGTACTATGTAATTTTGCTTCGAGAGTATTTCTTGCTTGTAACAGAATTATTAGAAAATCACCAAACCTGAAAATGTGTGTCAATAACGTGTGCAGCGTTTGGTCCTAGTCTGGTTAAGTTCTCAACAGTCGGTTCTTGGATGAATTTGCCGACGTCCGAATCGATTTCTTCCACTCCTGAAAATTATTTTTTTAATAATTTATTGTTTTTAACTATAAACACACCTAGTAAACTTTACACTTATTCTATTTTTTTGTTTATATTATTTTCTGATCTTTTCTGAAAGTAATCAAAATAAATGATAAATCCAAATAATAATGTAATAAACATCTATATTGTTTTAATTGTTCAATCAAATGTGCCTTGATCTAAGATATGTTTAGTTATAGTTAACAAAATGATGATAATGGCAAATGTTGCTTTAACAAATTATTAACAAAGACATGACCCCTAGTTCCCCCAGTTGTACCTTATTATATAAAGTGTTTCTCAGCCTAGATGGTACACTAGTGGTACCGTACTAGTAACACTAAGGTAACCTCATTTTAAACCCATTGGCACATGTGTGTCAGGTAAAAAACCAGTCACATGCTTGCCTAAAGACACATAATTACTGAAACAGATGCAGAAGTCACTATAATGACTTGCCTTCATACATCTAATACAACTTAGAGTCTTAGGGCCTTTTGCAGTGAAAGTCCATTCACTTCCCTTCAGGTAAAGCTGTTTAACCCATTTAATCTTTGCTTGAAAAAGTCACTAACCAGATGTGTCCAGTACAATCTCCTTCCCCATGTCGAGCACAGTGTCCATATGCTGTGCATCTTCTGTTGCACTGTCTTCTGAATTCTCTTCGGCCTCGGATTCCTGTGATTCTTCCTCTTCTGAGTCAGATACAACTGGAAAACATATGTATAGCGCGAATTTATTATATAATTTACATGACGTTTAAGTGCTTTAAGCATTCGTATTATTTAAATTCAACATTAATTTTTTTACATATTATTTTATAAATAGTTCTTAAACTGACTTAGGGAGCGTTCAAGTATTACGTAACGAATTTTGGGGGTCCTTTTGTAAAACGTTACAATGCGGGGCGGGGATTGAATTACGCGTTATTGTTAATATTATTTTCGACTTACCAGTACTTTACATAACACAATGGTAACTTTTAGGTATAAAGTCACTGAGTGGTCACGAAACGTTTTACTATTGGGTACAGAAAAACGTTACGGCGCGTAACATGGGGAGGGGGGTCAAGAAACTCCAAATTTTCTTAATACTTGAACGCTCCCTTAGAACTTAGCAATTTTGTTGAAAAAATTATTCATATAATGTAAAAAATACTTACATTCATCCTCGCTGCCTTCTCCATCACTGAGTTCAGCAGAAGGGCCAAGCTTGTCTTTTATATTCTTTTTATTAGTCGCACCGCCCAAGCTGTTGCCTGTTTAAGTTGAATAGACGTTAAATGAGGTAAATTTATTTTTTAAGTAGTCAATACGAAGATGCGCTGGGTGCTGGATGTGCTTATTAGGTTCGATACTAGCATAGGGAAAGGAATATATGAAGGCAAAAAATATTAATATGTACAATTAAGTGTAAAAAATAAACAATTGATAAATATACGCACATACAACACACACGCATTACACACTTCAATAATACCTTATTCTTTAAAAAAAAAGTTGTTATGTTTTATTCTTTTTTTCATTATTATTATTATTGTGTGTTCCTGTGTGTGTGTTTCGTTAATAATAAATATTATGTCTATGTCTACATTGGTAAAAAATTCTGCAAAGTGTATACTGTATAATTATAGTACCTGCTAAAACCACTCTGCTAAGACGGTCAACACAGTCTGGTAATGCACTTAACGCATCCACCACCTCCATACACGCCGCACTGCCTATTTCATTGTGACTCAAGTCGAGTGACTGAAATTGGAAAATAAATAAAAACACCAATGGAAAGTGGTAGGGCTTTACGCACAACGAACCAAATGAGTCTAAGTTCGGAAATTGAGTCCACACTAGTAGTACTATTATGAGGAAGCGTTGAGAATGATGGAGAGGATTAATTTTTGGAATATAATTAACGATACGCATCATTTAAAGTATCCACAAAAATTTAATTTTGTTTTCATATTAAGTATCAAGATGATTACAGTTGAACTATAATGACGTAAGCAGTGTTGCCAACATAACAAAACGGTTATTTTTGCACGAGTGCACTCTCATATCCCCATAACGGTTCTTTCTCTGTACAGCCTCTATCGCTAGACGAATGTGTCACGTGACAAGGCATGAGCTAACGTTATTCTCATAGGTTTTTATGTCAACGTATCACGCTTGACACATAGTATTTTTCTTATAAGTCACTTGACCTATAAAGAGTCATAGAGCAACCACATTTAAAAGTATTTATAAGAAATATATATCTTAATTCAAACTAGTATTGGGTAATTTCAACTTTCTGACATAAGGATGAAATGGTTACACACATTTCTGTTATACTCATTGGGATCAATTATGTGGGTAAGTTGTCTGCCCTTTCAAATGGAAACTTTTTTAAATGTTTGTTCGATGTAACATGACTGTTTAAGTTCCCAGTAACAAACATAAAAGTTTCAATATTACTATGAACCAAAAATACAGATTTTTTTGAAGTTTTTCATATAGAGTATGTGGAACTATAATAATAAATGGTTTACCTCTAGTGGTACCAAGTTGTCCTTAAGTCCATTGGCCAGTGCACAGGCTCCTTTACTTTTGAGTAAACAATCACCGAAGTTGATGGATTTAAGATTTTTCAAACTGGAAATATATAAGATTTTATTAATATACTAACTATGTTTGATAAACGTTATTTTATATTGTATTATTTAAACAATTGAATTCAAATTTCTTTAAGACATTTATATTAATGTAATATATAAATATATGATATATTCATATCTTGATTGCTTCACAGCACATATAAATAGATGGTGTTAAGATGTTAACATTTCAATATGCTTTTATCAAATTACTATCTGTTTTATTTATTTATTATTAAACACCAAAAACACTTAGGAATTTAATATTGGTCCTTGAAGGGCCACACCACAATACAAATTCCTATGCTTTGAAACTAAAGAGAAGAGAAGATCGTGATTGCTGTAAACATTAAATTAATCTACTAAATTCTAATGTATTATATAAAGGAAGTGATAATGAAAATTACCTAGGCAGCGCTGTAGCAATGGCAACTGCCCCTTTAGGTCCAATAGTGTTGTCATTCAGATTTAGGCAAGAAAGGCTTGGGTTCTGTGTAAAAGCCTTGGAAAGAGCAGTAATACCAGGATGGTAAATACCATTTTGGGGCATCGCTAGCTCTTCAAGAGTACCCATATTCTGAAATAACAAGTAAACTCAAGTCAAAATAGTGTAAAATTGAATTTCATTATTAAAAAGTAAAGGAAGTTTTTAGCAAAATTTCTTTTGGTAGTAAACAAACCTGAAATACACCAGCTAGCGCGATCGCTCCATCATTCTCTAGTCTGTTCCTTCCAGCTATAAATATCTTTAACTTCTTTGGACTTGCAGACAATGCCTTGGCCAGTAACCGTCCTCCTGTGATACCTAAACCATTGTTGTTCAGACGAAGTTCCTGAAATTTTACATTACTGATAAAAAAGATAGTCTAATTGAGGACTATACAATAAACTATGTGTTTAACCAACACTGCCATGCCATTTTTTTTACTATATTATAAAGTACCTGTAGTTGTGAACAAACATCACTTTGTAGTAATTTAGCAAGGCCCTCTACACCAATGGGTCCAAAGGCATTGTCACTTAGGTCCAATGAATTCAGACGAGCTCCCGCCTGAATCATTCCATCTCCAAGAGCACTCTATAAAAGATATAGCATCCTTAAAAAACTTCTTTAACAAATATTAATGAGTATAGGACTCTGATAAACCAATGATTTATGTATGTTTTTTGTGGCACTGTATAGATTCTGTACATATTTATACAACACAATTTATGCAATAGCTAATTTAGCATATGCAAGCATGCGTTCTATTCGCAAGTAAAACTTTTCTTAAAAAAATATCTTTAAAATAATTTATAATCAGATGTTAACAAAACCACTATTAAAAGTAATACTATAACACCATACATTACTAAATATTTATATTGTATTAACTGTAGTTAAGCAACAAATCTTACCAAAGCAGGTGGAATCTCTGTCTTCATACGACCAGTAAACATATCAGAAAATCTAGCCGTTCTCAATTCAGGGTGGGTTTCTAAGGCCTTTGCAATAGCTTTAGCAGCTTCAACCCCCAAAGTATTACCAGTGAGTGTAAGGAACTGAAGGTCAGGACATGCATTGATTGCATCAACAATTGGTTTAGCTGCAAATATCTCAAGTTAGTATTTTGTACAATGCCTTAATTTAAAAAAAATGTTACCATATATGAATTTAAAAAATAAGAAAAGACAACCTAGAAAATTTAATTATAAACAACCATAACTATGAATGTGAAAGGCATTATGCATGAAACAAACTCAATCATTATTGTGACAAAAAATATTTCATATAAAACAAATAATGGCAGCAGCAAATTTATTATATTTATAATATTAACACTAAGAAGTCGTAGAAACAAAGTTTTTCAGATTTTACTTTTAACAATATAGGGACCATTAGAGGTTATTAACAAACATTGAACGCCAAAAAGATTACAGCACAGTTATACCCAACAATTCTCCTTTTGAATATTTACGAACTATATAACATTAATGTAAATTAAATTATTTGAAAGACAGAAGCGCAGTTTTATTACACTTAAAGAAACATACCATCTTCAGCGGTATCCAACTTTAGAGAGCGTCCTGAAAAATCTACACCGCTGATTGTTCTGCCAGGATCGTTGAGAGCAGAAGAAATAGAATTTAAATCGAAAGAGGTCATTTTTGGCAATCAATCAATCAAAATAAATAGAAAAATGAGATATAATAATAATTAATAAAAATATGCACAAAGTCACAACGGTGAACGGATTTTTTAAACTTCAAATTTCAAAACATATTACCACAGAACACAGTCACTACTGGCGCAGACTATTAATTGTAATATGTTATATATGAATAATTAATAACAATCATTAAATATGGAATAGTGATGCACGGCCGATGAAACTAAGTTAATTCGGTGTCACGCCGCCAGCGCCATAAGTACAGCCCCTTAACTAATATTATTCATTTTTGCCTTATCATAAAATACAAAAAGATACCTTAACGTTAAAATTTGTAGTCTATATCCAAATAGAAAATACTGCGAGTACAAGAGGTTTTAAATATTTAAGGTCGATATTACAGCATGATTCAGGAGGATATACCTTCTAAACCATGGTTTTCAAATCTGACGCTTGGTAAAGCTATCACTTCGACCCTTATACGTATGAGGGTGGGATATTTGTGAGTGTGGCAATGACGTTGGGGATTTTAATCATATATTCTTCGCCTGTACTCGACATGACCGTTCCGCTTTTATTTCCTCACTTTTATCCATTAAAATTCCTTTTCCTACTTCAATTTCTGTCCTTTTATCTAATATAAATATTGATGTGTATAGAATTTTAGCCAGTTTTATTTTTCATAACAATATAAAATTATATCCCTTTATGTACTTATATAATAAATTTATCTGATCCTTTTCCAAATTCCGCTCCAATTTCTAATCCAATAAAATAAATCTAATAACGCACTTCCTAACCTTTTTTACATGGCTGACGCACAAACCGTGCAGGCCAAGAAAGGTAAAAAAAAAAGTTTTAAATATTTACATTGCTTACAAAAAGGGGCCTTAGTCAAGATGCCAACAGTAGTGTATGTAGAACGTCAAAAACTAAATTTGTATGAAAACTTTTCGACACGAACTGTCATTTCCATACAAATTAAGTTTTCGACTTTCTACATACACTACTGTTAAGGCATCTTGACTAAGGCCCAAGGATACGATACCAATTTAAAAAATCACAATTTAAAGAATTTTTAGTTAAGGTTATTTTAATTATAATGTATTGATTTGATAAAATACAAGACATAATTAACGACATACATTTTATATGTTGTAGTATTAGGTCATTAGGGGCTGATTTTAAGAGGGCGTACATAATTTTTGAAATGAAATTTTAGTCTGGAGTAGCTTCTCAATTCTGTATTAAATTATTATTACGACAGTCGACACTCGACAAGTGTCACACTTTCGGTATAATCAGTATTTAGTATTTTCTGTTTACGTTTGTATAAAAATTAATTTACGTAAAATTATAACTGTGTGAAACGGTCCCTATATTCCTACGTGACTTATCACTAGTAGGCCATGGCGGGTATGTAATTTTTGAAATTTAGAACTATTAACTTTGCACTTTCTATTTACGTCCTACCTATGAACTTTTTAGTTCCAGCTTCGTGTAAAAGTTTATTTAATCTTATCTTGACGAGTATAATCATACTATTTATCACCTTCAACATCGCACTTAACCTATCAATTGATAATAACTGTTTATTTTTTATGATATTTTAACCTTTGGTCTAAAGGAAAATATCAAGAGTTAAGTAAGTAGGTAATAAATTAGAGGTCACTTATATTAAAATATGCAAATTATAAATTTTATTCATTAGAATTTAAATTAACGGCATTAGACTTTATTTTTCTTGGGCGTGGAATTAGTAATTTCATTAGTGAATTGTTAATTACGTCTTAACCTTTATTTACTTGACCTTGGACATTTAAATTTGGTAAATTAAAAGTGCACATCATTTAACCAAAATAAAATATATATTAAAGTTGAAGTTGGAAGTTTCTACATGTTTGTATTAAATATTCAATAGAAATGTAGAAAAAGCACTTATTAGCTGTAGGCATAAATAGTTGATTTTTAAATTTTATAAAGCAATAGTTAATTATTGAAAATTGTAAATACAATAGTAGTATATGGTTTGCAGCAATCAACCCATACAGCAACTTGCTGAAGACATTGGAAGTTAATGGAAAGACTTACAAGTACTATGATATCACTCAGCTTGGAGAAAAATATGGTATGTTATCTTGATTGCAGAATTTTTAATTATTAAACACTTTGTATGTTAAATCTTGAGCCACCCTGGCCATGCTTCTCCATATTCCAAGGTATATCTTGCATTATAAAGTCTAATAATTCTAAATAATTTTCCACAAATTGCCCGGGTGAGCAAGAGAAATATTTTTTAAATCCTCAAAAGAGAGAGGAAACTTTCCTGCAAAGTTTATATTATAAAATTTTAGTTTTCTCAATAATTGATCCTCCTTATTATGTTGTGTTTTAAAATTGACTGTCTGTTATAACTTATAAGGTTCCTAATTCTACAAATCTGAAACCAAGAGTTCCACTCTTGATACCTTTAAAGATGGTAAACTTAACATAAAATTATTAAATATAATTGCAGACCGTCTCCCATTCAGTATCCGTGTGCTGTTGGAAAGTTGTGTACGCAACTGTGACAACTTTCAAGTGTTGGAGAAGGATGTGCTTAATGTGTTGGATTGGGAGCAGAAACAAACCATTGATGATGTTGAAGTTGCTTTTAAACCAGCTAGGGTTATTTTACAAGTAAGTGATAGGGTCGCCTGAAATCACGCTGGAAAGACGACCGACAACAGACGATCAGCCTGACTTTGGGACCTTATTGGCCCAGAGTTGCAGAGGATAGAACACAATGGAGAGAGCTGGAGGAGGCCTATGCCAAAAGACATGCCGAATTGTGAGACATAATATAAAATGACACTACATACCCATACCTAAATGTTTACCTTAATCAAGTATATTATTTATCACTTTTCTGGAAATAAAAGGCTTTATTATTCTTATTATTATAAATAACAGTCATTCTAGAGACTTAGTGGTCAGTGCAGTAGTCAGCTTCTATTAGATAAATATTTTTTTGGAGATTTTCAATTGTAAATATTTGACGAGCAACATTCTAGTTTTGAATTCTGATTACATCCATTTGAAATCCATTACAGCACTCTTTCATGATATGGTATGAAATATAAAACGTTATAATCAATACTTACTTATCAATAGTGTAATATCAAAGACAATAACAGTAAATAGACAAATCATTGCTATGGTTAAACTGTAAATCTCATGGTAAATCTAAATTTTGACATTGGATGGCATAACCTGTACAATAATTCGAAATGTTAAGAAAACCGCCGCTAGATATTGACTTAAAAAATTTCGTCCTACGCCTAACCAAGGTGGCTACTCATTGAATAGCCACGGCTGTACCAATATCTATTACAATGTGATTTTCATTTAGTTATTAGAAATTTACAAAATCTTATTCATACTAAATTGTTTACATTGTAAAAATGTGAAATAAGATTAGCAAAACCTTGAGATTATTCAAGCATTGAGCATTTCCTTAGATTTAAAGATATCATTTCTGCTTATCAGTGTCGCCATCCTAATATAGCCAGAATTTTTGGTACTTTGCTGGTGTATTACTTTAATTGCCTTTGGTAACATATTGATGGTTATGCTTAAATAAAAATATACGTTTTTGTATATTTTTAAAAAAAGGAAGGGTTTTCTAAATTGCAGTAAATCTGCTTACGTATTACGTACTCAAGTATTACTTGAATGGTCTCTCACATTTGGTTTGCACTTCTAATTATTAACTAATGTTGGGTTACCAGGACTTGACTGGTGTACCAGCTGTTGTGGACTTTGCAGCAATGCGATATGCTGTCGGACAGTTGGGTGGTGACCCCAACAAGATCAATCCAATCTGTCCAGCTGACCTGGTCATAGATCACTCTGTGCAGGTTGACTTCTCAAGAACGTAAGTTTTACTTAGCTAAAGTAATGCTAAAATAAAGCACTTGCAGGTATTTTGCAATGCAAATATTAAAATAATCATGTATGTTGTAGTTTATATGAAAACCCCCAAATAAGAAGCTCTTATTGTTTTCATAGAAAGTAATAAATAATAAATGGCTGTCATCCTAATCTATCCATTCCTAATATTATATGCTGTTTTAAAATGTAGTTTTGATGATATTTTTGTATTTATTAACATACTATATTCCAATGTTGTGTGCGGCACAAAATCATTTCGGTAAATGAAATTTAATTAGTAATTGAAGTTGATTAGTGCAGGTGTGTAGTGCAAGTAGTGTCCAATTCTTGTTTAGTAGCTCTGTTAAGTAAATTCAGTTGTCGATAGCTGTCGATCAGCAATTAGTATGGACGAACATCGAGAAGCGCGCTTGCAATTGGAAGAAGTATTAAACGCGGTGCTATCTGAAACAGATGAAGTTTTGGAAGCTGAACTTCTGAAATTATGGGTTCGAAAATGGGTTAATAGAAGAACTATTCATGACGCAAGCTACCAACTCTATAAGAAATTGGCTGCTGATACGATACGACGGAATATTACTTTGCTCTGAAGGGAAGGCGCACGCGACGTGACTACTCGCAGTTCGTTCGCAAAAAAAAAAACACGCTTCTAATCACTTTACTACGCAGTCAACTAATCACCTGCACTAATCACTAATCAAAGTGAATACAGGCCCATCTACAGTGAAGTGACGAGTCGAGAGAATAGTCGTGGTATTTGAGTTAGTCCTACATTACCTCTTGTTGATAAAATTGTTACGCAATTATAGGCCGATAGTAATCGCCTAAGAAAGAAACAACTCTTAACAAGTAAGAATTATATTAGTTCGCAGAACGGCCGGTTCACTTCCTACACGAACTCTAACGCTGATTATTAATTATTTTATTTTATCTCGCACACTGTTTTATTGTGTTTTTTATATTATTTTTATTACTCTTTAATGTATAATATTCTACGGTTTCGATATTTGTAAATATGTGAGGAACATGTATACTATTATAACTTTTTTAGTATAGTAGTTTTATTCTAAGAGTACATTGTCTTCACATATAATTATTTAACTAATATAAACAAAATATTGTAAACCTATTTTAAAAGAGTAAGTGTGGAGTTTCTTGCCCATTCTTCTCCATACGAAACTACCTTTTGGAAGGGGCAACTAGAATCTTCTTTATATTTTATTTGACGTTCAAAGGTGCCATTTTAGGTGGTCTAATTGAAATAAATGATTTGACTTTGATTCTCTATTGATCTAGTGGGAATTGGGATCACTTTATGATATAATATATTAAATAATATACTCGTATATCCGGACATATTTAATATCTAGATTTTGGTTTAACTTATGTAAACAATATTTATTAAATTTGACTTGACTAGTTTTCAAGGAACCATTTTTAAAATATAGAATATAAAAACAATGTAATATGGACCCTATTTTTAATATTAATCTTGGTTCACACATGGTATATCATTGAATATTTTATATTTCAGACCGGACGCACTAAACAAGAATCAAGAATTGGAATTTGAGAGGAACAAGGAACGGTTTCAATTTTTGAAGGTAGGTTTTGGACTATATTAAATTTATATAAGGCCCTTCACATCATTAAATCTACCGGATAAATCGAATTTAAAATATTAAATAAGCTGGAAGTATTAATTTTAACGCAAAACTTTTTCAAAATGATTTGACAATTTACTTACAAGATTTTGTTTACAAAGTATAAGAAGGAACTATCCGAAATATACTGAAACGTCAATAGCTTTAAACCATTTTATCTGTATGAAGTTTGACGCATCTGACAGCGTTCAAAACCAGGTTGTGACTTGACATAGGAAGGAGGATATCCCTCCATATGTCATAAACGAATGGATATATAAAGTGAGACTTAACTAAATCTGACTCCCGTACTTCAAAAATGTATCGGATTTTGACATATGGGAGCCATAATTTTTTCGCTAAGGGAGCGTTCAAGTATTACGTAACGAATTTTTTACCTTTTGTAAATCGTTACGATTCGGGGCGGGGATTGAATTACGCGTTATTGTTAATATTATTTTCTACTTAGACCACATAATAGTAACTAAAGAGTCACTAGGTGGTCACGAAACGTTTTACTATACTTGGATACAGTACTGTATATGGGTACTGAAAAACGTTACGGCGAGTTCATGGGGTGAGGGGGGTCAATAATCTCCAAAAATTGCGTTACGTAATACTTGAACGCTCCCCAAGTCTCGACTCTTAAATCTTATCTTTCTATCTCTTAATTGCAGTGGGGTGCGCAAGCGTTCAATAATATGTTGATTGTGCCGCCTGGTTCTGGGATCGTTCATCAGGTAGTTATCACCATACCTATTCTGTTCTTGAAGTAATCAAAAGCGCGAGTTATTTAAAATATTAGAGTTGTAAAAACTATGACTAGTTTAAATTAGAATGCTTTCTTATTTCTGTTTATTATTCGAAAAAGATCTATAGATAACTATCTAACAAGTATCTAGTATATCATCTGAAAGCTTTATATTCTGTAGATTTTTGACTCTCGATAATTTAATTATTGGCGACCAAGATATTATTCCTTCAACTTCAAATTACTGAGGAGCCAATTAACATGATTTATTACAATTTATCAAGTATTTTTCAAGGGACTAGAAACAATATCAAATCGCTTCGGATTCATCACTAAGTTATAGTTTATTTATATAGAATTACTAGCTGACCCGGCAAACGTTTAGCCTTGTATATTATTTCTAGGAAAATGTTTTTAGTTCAATAAAATAACTATCTACTATAATAAAAAATATAGGTTGATCGTAGAGGGGTGAAAATTAAGGGTTGTGTGTATTTTTTAATGCCATAATTTAATAAGGCCAAATAAATGTTTGTTTAAAATATTTTTTTTATGCAAGGTGAATCTCGAGTATCTGGCGCGAGTGGTGTTTACTGATGATATACTGTACCCCGATTCCGTGGTTGGCACAGACAGTCACACCACCATGATCAATGGACTTGGGGTTTTGGGCTGGGGAGCTGGAGGTGAGCATCCGCCGACTTCAATACATTTTATTGACATTAGTTTTCAGAGTGCTTACATGATTACTCTGCATTTAGCGTCTATTGAAGGAAGATAAATTTATAATTATAAGTTTTATTCATTAAACTCTTGAAAGGCCGGCTACGCACTTGCGAGCCTTCTGACAGTGTGAGTGTCCATAGGCGGCGGTATCATTTAACATCAGGTTAAACTATCTAATCTCGGTAACTCCTGCCAGTTTGCCTTTGCATTAAAAAAATTAAAGAAAATAAAAAATTTAATCCTTGACAGTTGAAGTTTTAAGAAAATCTAAATATTTTATGTCTTTGTATTTATTTTTTAAACAGGAATCGAAGCGGAAGCAGTGATGCTCGGTCAGGCAATAAGCATGTTACTACCCAAAGTAGTGGGTTACAGGTTGGTGGGGGAATTGAACCCACTTGCTACCTCCACTGATCTCGTGCTCACCATCACTAAGGTATGATTTAAATTCAATTAGGGAGCGTTCAAGTATTACGCAACGAATTTGGGGGGGGGGGGTATCCTTTTGTAAAACGTTACAATGCGGGGCGGGGATTGAATTACGCGTTATTGTTAATATTATTTTCGACTTTCCAATACTTTACATCACATAATGTGTAACTTTTAGGTATAAAGAGTCACTGGGTGATCACGAAACGTTTTACTATTGGGTACAGAAAAACGTTACGGCGCGTTACATTGGGGGGTAATAATCTCCAAAAATTGTGTGACGTAATACTTGAACGCTCCCTTACAGAGTATACATTTGTAATGATTACTAGTGACTAATGAAACTTCGAAATTCAATTCAATTGTTAATTTTATACCGTACTAACTGACCCGGCGAATATCGTACCGTCTAAAAGTCAATGTTGTGTTACAGGTGAGCTGAACCTATAAAATTTTATGAAAGTAATACAATGAATACAAAATAATTGTTAAGTTCACTACTATCACCGAATTGCAATTCTCAACGTTTCGTTGTATATTTAAGTAGCTAGATGTATTTGTCAATGTCATGTCAATGTCATTTTCTTTACTGACATTATTTTATATTTTTTAAATCTAAAATACGTTATTATCCAAATATTTTAGATTATCATGTCCGTTCGTCTCAAAATCGTAATCTTTATGTAATTACGGGCGCTCTTCCGCATCTTACAATATAATATGTACGTGTGTGAGGTAGACTGCGAGCGTTCGTGTGGGTGTGTGTGTGTACTTAAACATGTATTTGGTACTATACAAATAAAGATATAATAATATTTTAATGATCTATTGATTATTGAAGACGTTTTAATTTAAAAATAAATTATACCTACTATTAAGTAGATGTATGCCATACGCTTACCAACAAGAATACTTAAAATAGAATAAACGCGCATATATTTAAAATATAATTCATGCCAACTATACAAATTGTATGAAAAACTTATGCGTTTGAACTAAAAATTCTTCGTCTCGTGCTTAACGTGTGAACAACCCAACCCTGCAAACATCGAGGACATGTCAGGCAGAGAATCTTGTATATAATAGAAGACATGAAGAAATAATATATTATGCGTGTTAAATACACAAATGACGCTCAAACAAATTTAATTTCTCTCATTTTACATTTGTGGATAGCTCGTAGAACGGACGGGACGAAATAGAAATCTCTCCGTCACTTCTTTCAATCCCCAATTATTTTCTTTTACAAGATGCTTTTAGGCCAACCCATATCAGTGGCTAATAATTGAATATCGAATTGATTCTAGAATGTCGTCTTGAAATTTTCAGCATCTCCGCTCTTTGGGCGTGGTGGGCAAATTCGTGGAGTTCTTTGGTCCGGGCGTCGCTGAGTTGAGTATCGCGGATCGAGCTACTGTGGCCAATATGTGTCCGGAGTTTGGAGCTACGGTCGCCCACTTCCCTGTCGACCACCGATCCTTGGACTACCTTACACAGACTAGTGAGTTTCACCCCATTGATACACCTCTTTTAAGGTGAAAACAGATGATAAATCAGTAATATTCTTTAGGTGTTCCAAGTGTGGATAGCCACATATTTGAAAGTTGGAAACCAATTGATCTCTTAAACTGTTCTCTAAGAATAGTTCCAGATATCTGATTTAAATCAAGGATATTTTTTGTTATATTTTGACTCTTTATTTTTCGAAAAAAAAAAATGACAATCATAAAATACAGATTAAAGTAATCACAATTAATCACACATTGCACGAAAGACATAAGTTAAAAACTTTTTTGATTTCAGTGAAAAATCCGTTTTGGTATTACTCAATATTGCCATTGTTAACTCAAAATTTAAAATAAATATCATTTACAGTGAGTTTCTCTATTGTTAAATTTGCTTTAATTTAAATTGATGATTTTAAAAAAATAAATAAATACGTAATACCAATTTTCCGAAACAGACCGTTCCGAAGAAAAAATCAATATTATCAAGCAATATTTGAAAGCGACCAAACAATTCAGAGACTATACCAACCCCGAACAAGATCCTGTCTTCTCGGAGGTAAGTTTAAATATTATATTTTTGAAGTTATACTTCTTTTAGCGCGTTAGGGCGAGATTACGAGAGTAAATTTTTACGTTGCGCGCGAACACCGTCACAAAAAACCGACACCTTGAAGTTAGCTATAGTCAACATTTAAGTCAAGAATAATTTTTTATAAAAGATTTTTATCTTGTTACGCCAAAGAAGTATACCTTCTAACGCGTACTTATAGTACACACACTTTTTTTTTAACATAGGATAAACAAACGCGCCTACGGGGCGCCCAAAAAGGGCAGTTATGCCCATGGACACCCATTTTAGTGGATGCGTTGCCGGCCTTTGAGGGAAGAGAATGCTCTTTTTTTAAACAATTGGCGGTCGTATCTCCCAGAAAAAACCTTTACAGCTCCCTAGTTCGCTAAAGAAAATGTCTCGTGGATAAGGCAGGAGTGATCAACACAAACAAGTCTTCAGAATACTCTCCATAGTGCACTTAATTTTTTACTACGTCTAAAAAAGGAGGCACTCAATTTGTCGCAAAATTTTCTATGAGATATCTATTAATAGGGTTTTTATAACGGCCCTCGTTACTTCATTATACATACATATAAAAATAGCAGGTCACAAAAGTTATGAGACAAGGGGTGGCCTTATTGCTAACAAGTGATTTCTTCCAGGCAACCCTAGTATGGAAAAGTAAGTTAAGAAACACCTGTGCATACAGTGTACAAGAAGTGCATAAATAATTAACAAAAAGGAACATATTATATTTTGCATATATGTAGCAATTTTTTTTAATTTTAATATTACCATAATATACTTTTTTTTACTTTAATAATACCATTAATTACCCATACAATTCCAGATAGTGGAACTAGATCTAGCGACGGTGGTGACATCTGTTAGCGGCCCTAAGAGACCGCAAGACCGTGTCTCCGTTTCAAACATGAAGCAGGACTTCAGAGAATGTCTTACGAATAAGGTAAGTCTAAATGAAATATTATTTAAATATAATATTTTTATAAAAAAACAATCTATTAATAATTATATAAAATAGTAAAACGGCCTAACAGTTTTCACAACCATAATGGTTGTCGAGAATAGAAAATAAACTGGTGATCTTCAAAAATACTAAACAATTGTATTATTTCCAGAGTTGAGTGTAGAACACTTCTGTGCTAAATAGCTTATTAGGCATTTCCTAATACAACAATTTTTGAATGTAATAATGCCACCATATGTTTTTCCTTCATGAAAATCAGTAAAGAATTAATGCTTTTAAATTTACATATACTGTCAGTTCTCAAATCAATCATAGAATAGGCAAGATCTGGCAAAATCTCTTTGTCACTATTAAAGTACCAAGTTTTTTTACATAATGTTTGTAAGCATCCGCATCCAGTATATAATTTGTGTAAGCGTCTTTGAATGACAGTTATCATGCACCCAGTGACAGTATTTCACACATGTCTACAGAGTGAATGACTACGGACCTTGAAATACTCTTTTTCTGAAAAAAAATAATGTAATAGTCTTCGCCGTTTTTTGTTGTAAGCGTTTTTGAATGACAGTAATCATGCACCCAGTGACAGAATTTCACACATGTCTACAGAGCGAATGACTACGGACCTTCAAAGACAGTCCCTTTTAAAAAATAATAATATAAATAAGTCTTCGCCGTTTTGTTGTAAGCGTCTTTGAATGACAGTTATCATACACCCAGTGACAGTATTTCACACATGTCTACAGAGTGAATGACTACGGACCTTGAAAGACTCTTTTTCTGAAAAAAATAATGTAATAGTCTTCGCCGTTTTTTGTTGTAAGCGTTTTTGAATGACAGTAATCATGCACCCAGTGACAGAATTTCACACATGTCTACAGAGCGAATGACTACGGACCTTCAAAGACAGTCCCTTTTTAAAAAAATAATAATATAAATAAGTCTTCGCCGTTTTGTTGTAAGCGTCTTTGAATGACAGTTATCATGCACCCAGTGACAGTATTTCACACATGTCTATAGAGTGAATGACTACGGACCTTGAAAGACTCTTTTTCTGAAAAAAATAATGTAATAGTCTTCGCCGTTTTCTGTTGTAAGCGTTTTTGAATGACAGTAATCATGCACCCAGTGACAGAATTTCACACATGTCTACAGAGCGAATGACTACGGACCTTCAAAGACAGTCCCTTTTAAAAAAAAAAATAATATAAATAAGTCTTCGCCGTTTTGTTGTAAGCGTCTTTGAATGACAGTAATCATGCACCCAGTGACAGAATTTCACACATGTCTACAGAGTGAATGACTACGGACCTTGAAATACTCTTTTTCTGAAAAAATATAATGTAATAGTCTTCGCCGTTTTTTGTTGTAAGCGTTTTTGAATGACAGTAATCATGCACCCAGTGACAGTATTTCACACATGTCTACACAGTGAATGACTACGGACCTTGAAAGACTCATTTTCTGAAAAAAAATATATAAAATAAAGTCTTCGCCGTTTGTTGTAAGCGTCTTTGAATGACAGTAATCATGCACCCAGTGACAGAATTTCACACATGTCTACAGAGTGAATGACTACGGACCTTGAAATACTCTTTTTCTGAAAAAAATAATGTAATAGTCTTCGCCGTTTTTTGTTGTAAGCGTTTTTGAATGACAGTAATCATGCACCCAGTGACAGTATTTCACACATGTCTACACAGTGAATGACTACGGACCTTGAAAGACTCATTTTCTGAAAAAAAAATATATAAAATAAAGTCTTCGCCGTTTGTTGTAAGCGTCTTTGAATGACAGTAATCATGCACCCAGTGACAGAATTTCACACATGTCTACAGAGTGAATGACTACGGACCTTGAAATACTCTTTTTCTGAAAAAAATAATGTAATAGTCTTCGCCGTTTTTTGTTGTAAGCGTTTTTGAATGACAGTAATCATGCACCCAGTGACAGTATTTCACACATGTCTACACAGTGAATGACTACGGACCTTGAAATACTCTTTTTCTGAAAAAAAAATAATGTAATAGTCTTCGCCGTTTTTTGTTGTAAGCGTTTTTGAATGACAGTAATCATGCACCCAGTGACAGAATTTCACACATGTCTACAGAGCGAATGACTACGGACCTTCAAAGACAGTCTTTTAAAAAAAAATAATATAAAAAAGTCTTCGCCGTTTTGTTGTAAGCGTCTTTGAATGACAGTTATCATGCACCCAGTGACAGTATTTCACACATGTCTATAGAGTGAATGACTACGGACTTTGAAAGACTCTTTTTCTGAAAAAAAATAATGTAATAGTCTTCGCCGTTTTTTGTTGTAAGCGTTTTTGAATGACAGTAATCATGCACCCAGTGACAGAATTTCACACATGTCTACAGAGCGAATGACTACGGACCTTCAAAGACTGTCCCTTTTTAAAAAAATAATAATATAAATAAGTCTTCGCCGTTTTGTTGTAAGCGTCTTTGAATGACAGTTATCATACACCCAGTGACAGTATTTCAAACATGTCTATGGAGTGAATGACTACGGACCTTGAAAGCCTCTTTTTCTGAAAAAAAAAAATTATGTAATAGTCTTCGCCGTTTTTTGTTGTAAGCGTTTTTGAATGACAGTAATCATGCACCCAGTGACAGAATTTCACACATGTCTACAGAGTGAATGACTACGGACCTTGAAAGACTCTTTTTCTGAAAAAAAATACTGTAATAGTCTTCGCCGTTTTTTGTTGTAAGCGTTTTTGAATGACAGTAATCATGCACCCAGTGACAGAATTTCACACATGTCTACAGAGTGAATGACTACGGACCTTGAAAGCCTCTTTTTCTGAAAAAAAAATTATGTAAAAGTCTTCGCCGTTTTTTATTGTAAGCGTCTTTGAATGCCAGTAATCATGCACCCAGTGACAGAATTTCACACGTCTACAGGGCGAATGACTACGGACCTTCAAAGACTGTCCCTTTTTAAAAAAATAATAATATAAATAAGTCTTCGCCGTTTTGTTGTAAGCGTCTTTGAATGACAGTTATCATACACCCAGTGACAGTATTTCACACATGTCTATAGAGTGAATGACTACGGACCTTGAAAGCCTCTTTTTCTGAAAAAAAAAATTATGTAATAGTCTTCGCCGTTTTTTGTTGTAAGCGTTTTTGAATGACAGTAATCATGCACCCAGTGACAGAATTTCACACATGTCTACAGAGTGAATGACTACGGACCTTGAAAGCCTCTTTTTCTGAAAAAAAATTATGTAATAGTCTTCGCCGTTTTTTGTTGTAAGCGTTTTTGAATGACAGTAATCATGCACCCAGTGACAGAATTTCACACATGTCTACAGAGTGAATGACTACGGACCTTAAAAGACTCTTTTTCTTAAAAAAAAATGTAATAGTCTTCGCCGTTTTTTATTGTAAGTGTCTTTGAATGCCAGTAATCATGCACCCAGTGACAGAATTTCACACATGTCTACAGAGCGAATGACTACGGACCTTAAAAGACTCTTTTTCTGAAAAATAAATAAATAAAATAAAGTCTTCGCCGTTTGTTGTAAGCGTCTTTGAATGACAGTAATCATGCACCCAGTGACAGAATTTCACACATGTCTACAGAGTGAATGACTACGGACCTTCAAAGACTCTTTTTCTTAAAAAAAATGTAATAGTCTTCGCCGTTTTTTATTGTAAGTGTCTTTGAATGCCAGTAATCATGCACCCAGTGACAGAATTTCACACATGTCTACAGAGCGAATGACTACGGACCTTAAAAGACTCTTTTTCTGAAAAATAAATAAATAAAATAAAGTCTTCGCCGTTTGTTGTAAGCGTCTTTGAATGACAGTAATCATGCACCCAGTGACAGAATTTCACACATGTCTACAGAGCAAATGACTACGGACCTTCAAAGACTCTCTTTTTCTAAAAAAATATATAAAAAGTCTTCGCCGTTTGTTGTAAGCGTCTTTGAATGACAGTAATCATGCACCCAGTGACAGAATTTCACACATGTCTACAGAGCGAATGACTACGGACCTTCAAAGACTCTTTTTCTGAAAAATAAATAAATAAAATAAAGTCTTCGCCGTTTGTTGTAAGCGTCTTTGAATGACAGTAATCATGCACCCAGTGACTGAATTTCACACATGTCTACAGAGCGAATGAATACGGACTTTAAAAGACTTTTTCTGAAAAAAAAAAAAATATAAAAGTCTTCGCCGTTTGTTGTAAGCGTCTTTGAATGACAGTAATCATGCACCCAGTGACAGAATTTCACACATGTCTACAGAGTGAATGACTACGGACCTTCAAAGACTCTTTTTCTGAAAAATAAATAAATAAAATAAAGTATTCGCCGTTCGTTGTAAGCGTCTTTGAATGAGTAATCATGCACCCAGTGACAGAATTTCTCACATGTCTACAGAGCGAATGACTACGGACCTTGAAAGACTTTTCTGAAAAAAATATATAAAAAAGTCTTCGCCGTTTGTTGTAAGCGTCTTTGAATGACAGTAATCATGCACCCAGTGACAGAATTTCACACATGTCTACAGAGTGAATGACTACGGACCTTCAAAGACTCTTTTTCTGAAAAATAAATGAATAAAATAAAGTCTTCGCCGTTTACTGTAAGCGTCTTTGAATGACAGTTATCATACACCCAGTGACAGTATTTCACACATGTCTATCGAGTGAATGACTACGGACCTTGAAAGACTCTTTTTCTGAAAAAAAATAATGTAATAGTCTTCGCCGTTTTTTGTTGTAAGCGTTTTTGAATGACAGTAATCATGCACCCAGTGACAGAATTTCACACATGTCTACAGAGCGAATGACTACGGACCTTCAAAGACTTTTTCTGAAAAAAAAATATATAAAAGTCTTCGCCGTTTATTGTAAGCGTCTTTGAATGACAGTAATCATGCACCCAGTGACAGAATTTCACACATGTCTACAGAGTGAATGACTACGGACCTTAAA